TTCTTGAATCACTGTTACTTCCTCTGAGCAGCTGTGTCTACGCATGTAAGTGTGTGTCAGTGGGCCGCTGTGATCTACAGGATTTTTCATTTAACACACAATCATTAAAAGGAAATAACATAATTTGTTTCATAGAACAAATCATCTGTTCTTTGCCTGTATTTAGCTTTTCACTTTCATTCTTGGTCGCCTAGCAGAGCTGTGAGGTGTCTTTGAAAAGGTAACCCAGTAATCATTGTATCTGAGGGGAGGGGTTCCCCCCACAACCCCCTCCCTGTAATTCCACATGTATTTGAAGAAACCAGTCATTCTGCAACAGCTGTTCCTGTTAAGATACTGTGACTGACAAAAGGTAATTTTCAGCTTCCTAGGGTCCTTTTCTTATTCTGATGGATGGTAGAGCTTTCTCTTAGGAACGTTAAAAAGTACATTTCACAGGCTTTTTCTACCACCAAGTGCATGGGAAATCTTGGATCTGACAGACTCACCCTCATAACTCCCAAGACTTAGGTGGGATTTGAATCTCTACAATGCTACTTTTCTCTCTCCGTCAAAGGCTTTGTACTCATTTGTCAAAAGCCTGAAGGTAGGAAAAAGGAAAGAGATTGAACTGTGGAGGTTTTACAAATGCTCAGCAACTTTTTCCTTTGTCTGTCATCAACTTTTTGATGCAGATGTATTTCAGAAGTTTCATTGACCATTTTCTCCCCCTGCTGCTTTTTGGGTGCAATTTCAAAGCAAGTAGATGGGAAGGGGGAACTGGAAGGTTCATGGGTGTAGTGTGGCTCTTATTCCGGCTAAGAACCACTTTCCTATTGAATCACTTTGCTATTTTCTTAACTCAGGAACATAGTGAAAGGCCAGATGAGAATGGTTTGTTTTTAAGGCCAAAGGAACTGGAAAGGAAGTGAAATTCAGGCGCGCATACATGAACTGGCATGCTAATCTCTGTCATTCTTCTTTAATTCTCCGTGTATATGTAGGGGGAAGCAGAGAGAGAGTTCTTTATCTTTATCTTTTTTTTTTCTTAAGATTTATTTATTTATTTTAGAGAGAGTGAGAGAGAGAGCATGGGGCAGGGGAGGGGAGAGAGACAGAGAGAGAGAATCCAAGCAGACTCCCTGCTGAGCTTGGAGCCCCATATGAGGCTCAACCCCATGAGCCCAGGAGCCAGAGACCACCACCAGAGCTGAAACCAAGAGTCGGCAGGGGAAGCCTAACCGACTGTGCCCTCACCCTCCCATCCCCCACACCCCCTCCTCCCCTAACCCAGGCACCCCATAGAGAGTTCTTTGTCTTGACTAACCTTAGCTGCTGTTTTCTGGGTAGAGCCAGCTCTGCTAGTAGTTGGCAACTGTCAAAGGTACAAGACTTGTAGAGTCCTTTTTGACATGGTCCACTGGGCACATGGCAACTCTGAACCTGTGGTTCTAGAAGGAGGACTTGGGACACCTTTGACGTGGCTTGGGAAACCTGAGGGGTGTTTTTGTTTTTTTTTTTCAGACCAAGATAGTTTCTGGGCTGTTACAGACCCAGTGTACTGGTAAGATATCTTGTGACCCATTCAAAGTGCTTAGCTGGTCGAAAGAAAACGCTGGAACCTTTCTAGTCTTTAGTTTTCCAAAGTCCAAGAACAATGGGGGATTAGATACTGCGCTGGGCAGTCCCTCCCCTGCCTCCACTCCAACCCATCCCCACCTGTTTACCAAAGAAGGACCAAAAGCAGATGTTAGGAAATGTCAGAAACCAAGTTTATCCCCCTACGACTCCAAACTCCAGTTAAAGTATTTTGGCCTATAATTAAGTTTGCGCCTCTTGAAGAATGAGGACTGTGCAGAAGAGATTTGTTAGCACGGACTGTTGTGCCTATCAGTATGCTAGCCTGAGTTCCAAAGTCATCTTGAAAAAAATTTAAGAGGCTTGGTTTTCTTGGGAAATATTGTGTTCCCCAGGTAACATTGATATTACATTATTTGGTCTGGTCATCTATTGTTTAGATAGAAAATGCAGATATTTTTGTCTTTTATAAGCTTTCTTTAACATAAGCAGCGGTCTCTGGTAAGGTAGTATTGCTGTGCATTTGTATTGTTATAGAATTAAATTATGGATTCTGTCATTCAAAAGAGAATGCTTTATAAATCAAGTAAAAATCTCATAACTAAGACAAATAAGTTGTGTTTAAGTCTTCTGGGGCCTCATATTCCATACTTTCCGTTTTACAGCTCAACTTGATGTAATTATTAAAGTGTAATTCTCTTTTCTTTTTCTGTGTACTGTTTTTGCTTTGTACAAATGTCATTAGTTTTCCGAGACAAAGCTTAAGAAAAGTTATTATATGTAAAGGACAGTAATATAAAAGTACAAAAGCAGGCAGTGATTCTTTATCTGTAGATTGGCAGAAGATGTGCCAAATACACGGCACTTTAACAAATGATGTTAAAACTTGAAATTGTAACAATGGTAAAAAATCCTAATGTATTCCTTTTCTTTTCATTGTTTAAACTGATCCATTGTTTGGAACTCCTGACTTTAAGAGACAGCCCTCATTACAAAGCTTTTTCGGAAGGGGTTACAGACTGCGTTCTGTGCAAGCATCTATGGTTGTGTTTGCCACAGGAAGAGGAAAGATCATTCACAGAGAAGGAAGGTCAGGAGTAAGTTATTGAGACCTGGCGGGGTTGGGGGGCAGGATCTCCAAATGCAGCTGCAGTTAGTGACGGAAAGCCCCGAAATTCCAAAGAGGGAGCAGAAGTAGAGACAGAGATTTACGATCTGAGCCAGTGCGGTGATAGGTGAAACTTTACAAGAACTTTGTTTCTCTAGGGAAGGGAGATTAGAGAGGAGAGCAGAGGATTAGGACTGAATCTTGGGGAAATCTTAATGATAGGGCGTGGGAGGAGGAAGAGGAACCCCCAAGTATAAACTGGCATGCTTGGCCAGCAAGCATCAGCGCTTCCCGCAGGGTTGTTAACTCTGAGCCAGAGAACCTCGGTCACACTGGGTGGAGGGTGGAATATCTAGGGACTAAAATCCTTGCGACTTTGCTTCGGTGCAGGTTGTGGTAGGCGTAAAATGAAGCTTATGTTTTCTGATAGAAGGCACATTAGTGGGGCGGGGGGGAAACTCTCCACTGTTGTGTTTTTGAGCCCATAGAAGGATTTCCTGCCAGTCCTGGTATGTGCTGAAATGATGTAGCCGTTCCTAAACTACTTTTACAAAATCAGAACGATTGGGTTAGTAACAATCTCAACTCTTCCTACCAAAAAATGCTTCCTTTTCCAGGATATGCAGAGGAATGTAAAGGTACGGGAAAGTAAGATATGATTTGATTTTCTAAATCATTTGATTTGGTTAAAATGAAATTGGTCATCGGGAGAAATGAAAGGACGAAACTGACAGAAAAAATCATGGCTCCTTTCATTTCTCAAGCTCTGTTCTAAGTTATATTCAGCTTCTTATCATGCACGCATCCGGGTTTGTGTTCAATGTAGCTCTAGAAAATTTGGAAGGCCACACCTTGATTCGCAGTGAAATTATAGGAATGCCTTAATGACAAGATAACTCAGTGTGGAGGCGTGATTGTGGAAAGGTTTAGCCATCTGAAGTAAGGGAGGTTCCGAGCATGTGTCAAAAATGCTTGATGAACTAACCCGTTTCTCCTGCGGATTCAGGTGGCCTGGGAGCTTATATTACACTCTTGGGTACCTCCCCAGAAAAGCTGCTCTTTTTCTCCACCCTTCTCTCCAATGTAAAGAACGTTAGCATCGGTGGAGAGAAGAATTGCTTGCAGTTGTGCTTATCTGGAAAAGATTATGGGGGGCCTGGTCATACGAATGAGAGGTTCAGTAGCCTCTTTGGAGAGTGCTGGCCAGTTAATCGAACACAACAGGTCACATTTGACATTGTGATAGATCTCTATCCATTGATGTCCTTTGGTACCACATAGTAGACACCGTAATTAGCAGCCATGTTAGGATTTAGGCAACACCAAAGGCATATTTGATTGCCCAGGACTGACATATTATCCTGTCTGGAGGTTCGTAAAGCATCAATAAAAAAAAATAAAATAAAATAAACATTGAAAGAGCCGAGGCTCCAAAATACACTTTGGTCTCAATTATCCAAGTGATCTAGGGCCATTGCCTCTGGAACCCAAGGAACAACATGACTGTCATGTATAAGGATGTATTCTCTGATGAACAGAATGCCAGGGGATTTCAAGATGTTTCTCATGTTGTATGGATTCAGGAAAAAGAACTTTAAAACTGCCCAGAAAAATGGATCTAAAATTTATCAGGTATATTTATGTGTATATAGTTCTCTAACACTTTCCCTTAATTTTCTTGATGGTTTCTGTATGCAGATCCAAATCCTAAATCTTATTTAACACACATGATTTTACATGACAGGAAATTTTTATTTAATCTGTAACATTATGAGAGTATCATAGTATTCCTAATAGTTTATGTTTAAAAGATTTATTTATTGAGAGAGAGAGAGTGGCCATGGGGGGTGCAGAGAGAGAGGGAGAGAAAGAGTTTCACGCAGACTCCCTGCAGAGCAAGGAGTCCGCCCTGGGGCTCAATCCCACAACCCTGAGATCACGACCTGAGCGGAAACCAAGAGTTTGGCCCTAAACTGACTGTGCCACCCAGGTGCCTCCTAATATTTTATGTTTTAAATATAATTTGATGCATATCAAAGTAGGGCAGAGCAGAGTGGCTAAGAGAGTGGGTTCTGGAATCAGACCAATCAGGTTTTAGTTCAAGTTTTGTCACTTTCTAGCTGCGCCAGCTTCTCTAAGTGTTAGTTTCCTCACCTGGAAGGTGGAGCTTAAAAGGGTATCTATCCCAGGGGGTTGGTACGAAGACTGTTAATTCGTGCATGCAAAGTGCTTATTACAGGAATCCACACTTGCTTGGGACTGCATAAACTTTGGTTACTTTGTTGCCGGATTTTGAGAAATACCAATGCGCATTCATCTAATTCTTCATTTTCAGGGTCGCTGTGCCAGAGAGAACTGCAAGTACCTTCACCCTCCTCCACACTTAAAAACTCAGCTGGAAATTAATGGACGCAACAATCTGATCCAACAAAAGACCGCCGCGGCCATGTTCGCCCAGCAAATGCAGTTTATGCTCCAGAATGCTCACATGTCATCACTTGTAAGTCACGGCTATGTCTTTGAGAAACTGCGTATGTGTGTCTTTTTTTTTTTTTTTTTTTTTTTTTTTTTTTTTTTTTTTAAGAATATAGATCTATGCCGGAATCCCCTTGCTGGGCTTTCGGGTGTGTTGGGTTTAACACCTGGGTTGCATTTACCGTGAATTCAGTTTCTAGAAGAATAGCAATAAAGGAGCAGGGGCATTTTAAGATAAGGAGGAGGTCTGATTGTTATTACAGGTAAACCGTTGAATTCTCGCGTATTAAGCCAAAGACATTTCCTTGCTCTTTCATGGCGGTTTTGTTACTTTTTAATGGCTTCTTATTTTGAAATAATTATAGGTTGAAGGAAAAGTTGGCAAAGACAATACAGAGAGTTCCCATATTACCCCTCGCCCAGCTTCTCCCTCTGTTAATTTCTTATGGCATATTTGTCAAGGTGAAGAAACCGACATTTTACGCATTGCTATTAATTAAACTCCAGATTTTATTCAGATTTCATTAGCTGTTTTTTTAGGGTCGTCTTGCTGTTCCCGTGTTGAATCCAGGGTACCACGGACATTTATTCGACTCCTGTGTCCCCTCTCTCTTTTGGTCTGCGACCGATTCTCGGTCTTTCCCTGTTTCCCATGACCCTGACATTCTTGAGGAATCCTGGCCAGGTATTTGATGGTGGTTTAGCTTAACCCAGCCACAGAGTTTCCCTCTGCAGGAATTAAAAAGGTGATGTCGCCATTCTAGACCAGCATCTGGTATTTTTATAGATCAATGAGTTGAAATGGATCCTTGACAAAATAATTTTGTCCTATTGAAAATTCATTTTGTCCTGATACCTTACAATATAAAATTGCAGTTTAGTCTTAGAACTTCCATTATTGAGATACTAATTAGAAAGGGGTATGTTGTCTTCATCTGTTACCCATTTGGTCAGTGACTATGTAGTAAACTCACTGAAAGCTAAAGACCATGTAGCTTTTCTGCTATGTCGTATTTAGATGGGTACAATGAAAATGTGGTCTCAGCAAAGCCTATTTCATTATAAAATCGATTCTCAGTATTCGAGGAAATCCGTGTAGACAGGGCAACCCCTTCACTGGTACATCTTTATAGGTAGTCGGGGCATTGATGAGTCATTGAAATTTTGCACCATGATCCTCTTTTTCCAGAAGGGCCAGACAGCTTTAAGTAAAATGAGTAGATTTCATTCCCCATACTAGAAGTTTGCCAAAAACATTTGCCTCAGAACTCAGTGCTGATTAATTACATTGATAAATTAGTTCCCAGAAGGTCATCAGTGAGCTCTGAGCTCTTCTTTAACCTTTCATAATGCTTCATACAGTTGAACTCCTTCTTCCAACCCTTTCGTTAGCTTTCACACAGTGAGCTGTTTTCGCTCCTCCCTGTTTCTAAAGGGGTAAGGAAGAGAAGGTGTTCTAGATTCTGGGAATAGTATGAACAAAACCACAGAGAAATGAATGTGCGTGGTGAGTCCAGAAAAACGTGAGCAGTAGGGGAATAAAGCAAGGGAGCTTTTCACCCACCGTCATTATCACTCATGGCCTCTCGTGGATGTCCCAATTTCAGAAGAAGCAAAGAATAGAGACCAGATTGTATTACACACCTGAGCCCAGCATGTGTTGTTTTTTTTTTTTTTTTCTTAGTCAAGAGATAGCACCGGGGCATCAATCAAATGCCCGGTTTCAGGGAATCAGAGAGCAAGGCCTGGGATAAAGTATGGGTAAAAGCAGAAGGCAGACTAGTCATCTTCTATTCAGCCTCCAGGAGAGTCTTTCCATTCCGCATCTCAACCATTCATGCATTATTGATCATGCTGGCTCACCCTGGAGACGAGGGAGTGGCTTTTTTTTAAGAGTCCAATAAGAGATCCATTGAGTTCTCCAGCCTCTTGTGCTTTCTAATTGAATTCTCCATGCTTTCTATAATAGAATACATTTCCCTTTTTTTTCTTCCATGAGGGTAATTTCCGATTTCAGACTGCAGAATATGACTGATATGACTCACAGGAGTACAATTTATTTTATAGCATGTCGTAAGATACAAGACATTACTTAGAAGACCCCAGGGAACAATTGGATATTGCTTTTCTACCTTGTAGATTATTTAACAATAGCTGTTGTGATGTGATAAACTGATAAAAGATTAATTTCTGCCGTTATTATGTATACAAAAAACTAACCCCAAGATGATTGATATGATCCTATTTTGTGGTCTAGAAAGCTTTGTAGGCGTGTTGTAATTGCACTAGTGTGAGCAATTTTAAGTGACATTTACCAGTCTGATTTGAAAGAAATGTTCTTTATTATGGATCTTGATATTACCGTAGAAGTAACATATGATTTTACTTGACTTTTCTGGTACCTTCGCTCCCCAAACAACTCTCTATCCCTTTTAACCCCCCACCACCCTGATAATCTGATTCTTCTCCCTAGAATAGTCAAGGCTTTGTTTAAATTTCCAGTCCTGATATTTAGATGGTTGCATATTAAGCCCCATTTGGTATCACTGGCTTGAACTTCACATCTTTCCACAAAGCATACTTTGATCTGTTTCTAGGATACCAAGAGAGCACATCTGCTTTCGGAAAATTGAGTATGGTTTGCTTATTATGAGCCCCAGATAAAGGGAATGTCAACCTAAATGGGATGTTTAGTGTGACTGAACAATGAATAAAAGCCACACCTAGTCAATTTCGGGGAATGCTTGCCGTAGCAGGCAAGTTTGTTCACTGTATTTAACAGGTCTGAATTGACATTTGCTAGTATAAAATTCTACCCCTGAAAGCTTTTGTTAGCTTTATTAAGGAAGTTTAGCGAGTGAGACAAGGAGCGTGACTCCCCAGTGTTTTTCGATGCCATTAAGAGATAGTTTCTGATGTTCACAGAAAAAAAAATCATGTATAAGAACTCCCTCTGGCATAATTAGGAGGCAAACAGGAGCCCTGTTGAAGAATTTTAAGGAAATCAGACACACTGGATTGCTCTCAGGCAAACTGATGTTTTTAAATTTCAATTTCACAACCGGAAATTTTCATTACGGGAGGAAGAGTTCTCACGGATGGATGTAATGTTTGCATATGTGAAGTGCATATGGTGTTGTCAGCTGATTAGAAACACTTCTGATTTAGACGTTTTGCATAGTCTAGATCTATCCATGTCTAGTAAACCCCTTTAGGTTCTATCTTTGAATGTGGTGATGCACGTGGAAACAGATCTTTACACACAGGTGAACTTGACTGACCCAGTCAAGTGTATTCACCTGATGATTTATAATAGAGGTTATGGGTTCAGCCGTTGGGGTGTGCCAAGTCCCCTGGTCTGCTGTTTTTTGTGACTTGCAGTCCTGCGGCCAAGTTAGGGTGTTTCAAACCACAGAGCCTATCAAAAAATGGGTTCCACTCCAGACCTGTCCTTCATTGCAGATAGTATCATCTAGTGTATGTCTGAACCCTCCCCACCTTTTTACATCATTTCTATAATTCTCTGTACCAGGTACATTTCCCATAAACAAGCTCATATGTTTATCTGACATTAATATAGCAAGGAATGAAGGTTGAGGTAGCACCTCAGAATATAAGGTTTTGTATTATTCCTCGGGACTTTGGACTGCAACAGTGTTAAGCAAATAGAAGCTGAGTTGCAAAGTAATTTATTTACTTTTTCAATTTAGAAAATGTTAAGTACTTCAGTGTTTCAGTCATTAAAGACAAAGAATAGCATCCCTCCTTAACCGTGGTACCTTCTACATTTTGCTGATTCCCATCAGAGTTACAGGTTTTCTAGTTTATAGAGTTCACATATGGTTCATACACAAAACTAACTTCAGTGGCTGAAGCATCTGCTATCTCCCTATTGTCATGACTCTTTTATTAAAGGTTATCATGAGGGGCGCCTGGGTGGCTCAGCAGGTTAAGCATCTGCCTTTGGCTCAGGTCATGATCTCACAGTCCTGGGATCGAGCCTGCTTCTCCCTCTTCCTCTCCCTGTCCCTCCCCTTCACACATGCACGCACACTCTCTCTCAAAATAAATAAAATCTTGGGGCACCTGGGTGGCTCAGTGGGTTAAAGCCTCTGCCTTCAGCTCAGGTCATGGTCTCAGGGTCCTGGGATCGAGCCCCGCATCGGGCTCTCTGCTCGGCGGGGAGCCTGCTTCCTCCTCTCTCTCTCTGCCTCTCTGCCTACTTGTGATCTCTCTCTCTCTCTCTCTGTCAAATAAATAAATAGATGTCTTTTAAAAAATTAAATAAATAAATAAATAAATAAAATCTTCTAAAAAAATAAAGAAAAGTTATCATGACAAAAGGTGGGCAAGCCATTTTGTAGACTTAGTGGAAAAGGAAACCATGTCCACATTCCAGATGACCAGTCTCATGATCAGTACAGAAATTACAGTGCATTTTAATGAAGGTTCTCAAGAGGAATTTTCAGCTTATCTACTCTCTAAAGGATAAATGGCGACATTTTGTTCTTTCATCTCGATATGCTTACATCTACATGTTTTGTAAAGTGATTTTTGCATAACGTTTAAGTTGGTGACGACAGGCATTATTTAATTATTAGATGAATATGCTCATAATATAATTATGACCGTCGTTATCATGTGACGTTCCACACGGACCGAGGTTGACTACATCACACCACAGGAGTGTGTGGAGTGCAGCTAGCCCCAAATTCCTGTGGATTTTACCATGTTTGCTAAAAGGTTAGCCAAGATTTCACTTTCAGATACTGCAACTGAAGCCTAACATCATTTATTTGTTCAGCAAATTGTTCCCACGGGTAGGCTTACCTTGAGGTTAGTGAAGGCTCAGGGCCCCTCATTTGCATGGTCTCCATCCGAGGCCCTGGGAGGAGCCCTACCGGTGTATTTACAATGTGTTTGTAAAGTTTGCAAAATATATTTGTGTACTCTTTGTTCTTAAGGCTCCCCTCCCGCACCCAGCTGCCTAAACTTGAGGCTCTACAGATCCTCGATTCACTCCTG